ATCATATTATTTCATATTATTTCTAAAAAATTTAGGTTGCTTGGGTTGAAAGGGATCAAGTTGTCTATGCTTCTGAGTTGCAACGCGGTGCTCCCTGGGGGTTGGCCCGTCTTGCTCATCGATCGGCTTTAACATTTTCGACTTTTAACAAATATCTTTACGATTCTCGGGGGGGGAGATGGCATCACTGTTTATATCATAGATACTGGTATCAATATTAATCATACTGACTTTGAAGGTAGAGCTTCATGGGGTGCTACGATTCCTGAAAATGATGAGGATGTAGATGGTAATGGTCACGGTACCCATGTTGCCGGAACTGTCTCTGGTAAACGATATGGTGTAGCAAAAAAAGCAAAAGTTGTTGCCGTAAAAGTTTTAAGATCCAACGGTTCTGGTACTATGTCTGACGTAATTAAAGGTGTCGAATTTGCTGCCGAGGCTCACTTAAAAGAACAAGAAAACGCCCGTAAAAGTGGTCGTCGTTTCAAGGGTTCTGGTGCTAACATGAGTTTAGGTGGTGGTAGAAGTAAGGCTTTGGATATGGCCGTTGATGGTGTATGTTTTTTACCCTTTTCATCTTTTCATCTTTTCATTTTTATTATTATTATTTTTCTCTGTTCTAAACATATTAATATCTTGATAGGCCGTAAATGTTGGTCTCCACTTCGCTGTTGCTGCTGGCAATGATAATCGTGATGCCTGTGAATATTCTCCTGCTGCTTCTGAATTATCTATCACTGTTGGTGCTTCTACCATTGAAGATGAACGTGCCTGGTTCTCTAACCATGGTTCATGTGTTGATGTTTTCGGTCCCGTGAGTATTTCTTTATATGCAATGATATCTGATATCACTGTTTATTAATTATCATTAAATATATTTTATTCAGGGAAAGGATGTTCAATCCGCTTGGATTGGCTCACGAACTGCAACCAACACTATCTCTGGAACTAGTATGGCCTCTCCGCATGTTGCCGGTTTAGTCGCATACTTGCTTTCTCTCCAATCCGATTCTGATTCTGAATTCTTTACTGCACCTATAACTCCAAAAGAACTCAAGAATATGATCATTAAATATTCTACGAAGGATGCTCTTGCAAAACTTCCTCCTAAAACCAATAATTACTTGATATTTAACAACTTTTCTGAATAATAGGACTTTTTTTTAAATATTACAATTGTGCTCGTATAACCATCTTATTCAAAAAGAATGTTAGATTCAAGAACATTGAAATTTTTATATAATTGTAGATGGTTTTTGTTTTTTTTTTATTGAGTATGTAAATTTGAAATTTGCTGAATTTAATAAAGTATGTCGAAAATCACGCAACGCTCTTTATTATTTACAATTACATTTATATTTCAATTTTAATGAACTAGTTTAAGTAAAATTGAAATAAACAATATTTCTCTATTAGTAAGTCTAAAATGGGAGAGATGGCTTATTCTTCTCTTTTTCCTTAAGTTTTGCCTATTTGAAAGTTTAGAATTTGAATTATAATTAATCAACTGTTCTGGATCTTTAATATCAACCATTTTTATACACTATACACTTACCAATCTCCAAGCTGCGATAGTTTGCGGCATTTCTTCTAAAGCTTTCGCAATCTTTGCTTTTCTGTATTATAAAAATTAATTTTTTTATTACAAGCATATATATTATGTCTGTTTTAATAATATGATAATACCTCTCAGGAGCATTCCTTTCATGTTTAGCGCCTTTACGAGGTTTATTTCTAGGAGGCTTCTTTTCAGGTTTAGGTGGCAATCCAATATTATTAGGATCAATTCCTAAATACTCACAATTTTTTCTCATATCAGCTAATTTCCTTCTGCTAACTTTTGGTGCTTTCCATTTTGCTTTACCCCATAAATTAATGTATTTAAATGTTGGTTTAAAATCTGATGGTTCATATTGCTTTTTTATATGATTTAGTTTTTGAGCTGAAATGTATTTTGTTGCTGTTCCTTTAATTGCTACGGAATGATCCGTTATTGCACCTTTAATTGCTTTTGAAATTATTCTCATTTTTTTAAAAGTTTTTTTTTTTTCGAAATTTGATTCAGATATAATATAAAAATCAGATGTTTTTTAATATCAATATCGAATAATGTTCCACATGATAATCTTAATACAGTAAAATTAAGATAAGTGACAACTTCCTTCATAAATTCAACTTCTCAAATATATGCTAGACTGGTGATTTGACCCGTCTAAAAAATCCCCACCCGGGTCACCCCCATATGTCACCCGGGTCAACTAAAAAGTCTCCTACACGGGTCACCCGTCGGGGAATAATATTACTATATATATACCAACTGAAACTAGTCTATGTTTAGGATTAGAGTTAAGAATTGAGTAGGTTTTATCATTACAGGTGAAATTACTCCCCTGACATTTTTTATTAGTGCTTCAAGACAGGTTTAGACACTCGTTCCTTGTATTTTTATTTTTTTTGCTTGCGATTTTAATTGGTTAATCATTGTATCAATGTAGATCTCCCAAATTAGGGGGATGGCTAAAAGCCAGATTTTTTAATTAAAAAAATCTAAATTCAAAAAATTTTTATTGGCGCAAACGCAAAAAAAAATATGCACAAAAAAGAAATTTATACACGTATTATATAGGGGCTTTGCAGTAGAAAGGGCCTAAATGCTATATATAATATATATAGCATTTAAGCCTTTTCTACTGCAAAGACCCTATATATGTGAAGAGCGCTAATATATGCGCAAATTAAGGGTTGACGGTACTATTTTAAAATTATATATAAACTTAATGGCGAAGTTTTTTTATATTTAATTTTATAAAAAAATTTATTAAGTAAACTAATTTTAACTATTATTTAAATTTTGTAGAGTAGATTTTTCTGATTCTAATGATAGTAAATTCATTAAAATTGGTTAAAAACTTAGCAAGATATAAAATTTTAAAAATTAGGTATAAAATTTTAATATTAAATTTATTTTATAGCTTTACATAAATTGATCAATCAAAATTGATAATTTTGTACAATCCAGAAAATTTTAGGTTCATCCAGAAAAATTTTGTTACATATAAAAGTATATTTTTTTTTATAAAATATAATAGTTCAAAATTTTATTATAATAGATAAATAATTTTATCTATATATTATAAAAATTTAATAAAAATTTATTGTAATTTGAAAAAGGTTTATTAGTAACAACTTTTAATTTTATAGTAAATTTTAAAATCATGTGTTGATTATATGAAAAATGATCTACATATCATCTTTTCTTAAAATCTATATACAAGTCACTCTCGTTATAGTGAAGTTGCTGGGCTGAAGAATTTTCTTCACTATATCAAGATATTTACTATATCAAAAACTCTTAATATAGTAAAGTTTATATTTAAATAAAAAAATCTTCATTATATCGAGAGA